CTAATTGTTCCCTGATTTGTCCCGAGTTTCCTGATTTTCCCCAATTTTCCCCAATTTCCCCCAATTTTCCCGATTTTTCCAGATCTTCCCAATTTTCCCTATTTCCCCAATTTTCCTGATTCTGCCCGATTTTCCTGATTTCCCCAATTTTTTCCTGCTTTTCCCAAATTTGCTCCCTCCAGAGCAGGAAAGCTGCTTGGGAATGGCACCGGGAATGGATCCCAGGGAACCGCAGGGAATTCCGGAGGGAAGGGAGCCGAGTCTCCAGCTCCAAAATCCTCCGGAATTTGGCTGCGATTCCATCGGGGAATTTGGATTCCTGCTTCAGGTGTGCTGCTCCCAGCACCCCCATCCCACCAGCGGATTTCCTTGGGAATGGGATGGGATCAGGGATTCCTGGGAGGAATTTCCAGGGAATTCAGGGAATATCCGCTGGGTGTTTTGGGGAGGAGAGAGGGAACCAGCTCAAGGAACAACAGGAAAACGGGAATAAACAGGGCAGGAGGAAAACGCTGGAAGTGGGAATTGAAGGAAAAGCCCACCGGGAATCAACTGGAATTGGCTGAAATTTTGTGCAGGAGGAGCAGATTTTCCTGCCCTTTTTCCCAGTTTTTTGGCTGGATTTTCCTGCCCCTTTTCCCAGTTTTTTGGCCGGATTTTCCTGCCCCTTTTCCCAGTTTTTTGGCTGGATTTTCCTGCCCTTTCTCCCGGTTTTTTGGCTGGATTTCCTGGGTGGATTTTCCTGCCCATTCCCAGTTTTTTGATGGATTTTCCCATCCGATGGATCCGGTACCTTCTCGGCAGCCACGGCCGGGGGCGCTGGGGGGAGGCTGCTGGGGGACTCCGGCCGCTTCTTGTGCTTCTGCTTTGGCCTCTCCTTGTCCTTGCGGCTCTGGAAAAAACACCGGGAGCCTCTGGAATGCCGGAATTCCCAGTGCTGGGAAGGGCGGTGCCAGATCCCATCAAGGCATCCAAATAAATCCCCATTCCTGCAGTTTTCCAGAGGCAGATCCCATAAACAGATTCCTGTTCCCATTGTTTTCCAGCAGAGATCCCATAAAGAAATCCGAATAAATCCCGATTCCTGCTGTTTTCCATTGGCAGATCCCAGAAATAAATCCACATAAATCCCTATTCCCATTGTTTTCCAGAGGTCAGTCCCAGAAATTAATCCAAATAAATCCCGATTCCCATTGTTTTCCAGCTGAGATCCCATAAAGAAATCCAAATAAATCCCTATTCCCACTGTTTTCCAGCACAGATCCCGCAAAATCTGCACCCATCCAGGGGCAGGAAAAATCCTTTATTCCTCTCCCGCTTCCCTCAGATCCCAAATCCCAAAAAAAACCCCCCAAATCCTGGATTTTGGGGCTATTTTTGGGAATAAAACCAACCCCACACAAACCCTGGGCTCTGGCTCTCACATTCCCAGCTGCTTCTCCTGGAAATCCCAAAGAAAATTGGATTTCTGGGATCCCGGAGCTGTTTTTTAGGACCAGAAGAATTAAAAATTTCCATCCCAGCCAGACATGGCTCCTAAATAATTCCTTTATCCAGAAAAACCTTTTCCAGAGGTGGATTTAACCCTTTTTCCCGGATAATCTGATCCAAACCATTCCCGAATTCCCACAAATTCATTTTCATCCCGAAAATCCCCCCTCGCTGGCCAAAAAACCAGAATTTTTTACCCATGGAAACTTCAAATCTGAGGGGAAAACCCCCGGGGTTTTGAGGTTGAAAGCCGCCTTCGCCTCCTGGATTGAGGAAATCCAGGGAATTTGGGGAATTTGGAGGAATTTTGGGAATTTTGGGAATTTTCCTGACCTTTTTTGGCCGCTCGTGGTGGGACAGGTGCTTTTCCTGGGTGGGAGACGCCGAGCGGCTCCGCCGGCCCGGGATGAAGGAGCTGCTCCCGGAATGGCGCGAGGTCTTCTGAGGGAATCCGGGATGGGAGGTGGGAAAAGGGCGGAAAAGAGGGAAAAGGGGAAAGGAAGGAGGAGAAAGGGGGGAAAAAGGGGGGGAAAAGGGAAAAAAAGGGGGGAAAAGGGAAAAAAAGGGGGGAAAAGTGGGAAAAAAGAGGGAAAATGGGAATGAAAGGAGGGAAAAAGGGAAGAAAAGAGGGAAAAGGGGGAAAAAAGAGGGAAAAGGGAGAAAAGAGTGGGAAAAGGGGAAAGAAAAGATGGGAGAAGGGAAAAAGAAGAGGGGAAAAGGGGAAAAAAGGGGAAAGGGGAAGAAAAGAGGGAAAATGGAAATGAAAGGAAGGAAAAGGGGAAGAAAAGAGGGAAAATGGGGAAAAAAAGAGGGAAAATGGGAAAAAAGAGGGGAAAGGGAGAAAAGAGTGGGAAAAGGGGAAAGAAAAGATGGGAAAAGGGAAAAAGAAGAGGGGAAAAGGGGAAAAAAGAGGGGAAAGGGGAAAAAAAGAGGGGAAAGGGGAAGAAAAGAGGGGAAAGGGGAAGAGGGAAAAGGGGAAAGAAAAGATGGAAAACGGGAAAAAGAAGAGGGAAAAGGGGGGAAAAAAGAGGGGAAAGGGGAAAGAAAAGAGGGAAAAGGGAGAAAAGAATGGGAAAAGGGGAAAGAAAAGATGGAAAAAGGGAAAACATTATTCCCTAAATAAATAAAAACGCCCTCAATAAACGGAATTCCTGAAACAAATGGAATTGCCGAAAGAAATAAAAATTCCCGGAAGGAATAAAAATTCCCGAAAGCGACAGAATGTCCCGGAATCCCGGGAATTCCCGGCGCTCACCATCTTGTTGAAGTGGTATTTGCAGTAGCCGCAGTATTTGACGTTGTCCACTTCCAGCACCTCCTCCTCGCACAGCAGCCCGGCCATCTGCGCGCTGCCGCGGGAAACGGGAACAGCGGGAAAGGCGGTGGGAAAACAGAGAAAATCAGCGGGAAAATCGGTGGGAAAACAGGGAAAAATCAGTGGGGAAATCAGTGGGGAAACAGGGAAAATCAGTGGGGAAATCGGTGGGGAAATAGGGAAAATCAGCGGGAAAATCGGTGGGGAAAGAGGAAAAATCAGTGGGAAAATTGGTGGGGAAATAGGGAAAATGAGTGGGAAAAACAGTGGGGAAATAGGGAAAATCAGCAGGAAAATCAGTGGGAAAATTGGTGGGAAAATCATCAGGAAAATCGGTGGGAAAATCAGCAGGGAAACAGGGAATATCAGTGGGAAAATCAGCAGGAAAAGCAGCAGGAAAATCAGTGGGAAAATCGGTGGGGAAACAGGGGAAATCAGTGGGAAAATTAGCGGGAAAACAAACAGGGAAAACCAGGCGAATCAGTGGGAAAACAGTGAGAAAATGGGAAAATCAATGGGAAAATAAGGAAGAACCAGGGAAAATTGGAAGGAAAATAAGGGAAAACGGGGGAAAACCCAAACCCCACAACCCTCGGGGAATGACATCCCAGATCCAGGGCAGGGGAATGAACATTCCAGAGGTTCCGACAGAATTCCCAAACTTCCAGAACTCTCTGGAAAAACCTCCTGGGCCAGGAGAAAGAGGCAATTCCAGCCCTAAATAACCCCGGGCGGGGGGGGG